CCTTATTAAATTATACTCTATATGAATTCCATTATATTGCCTGTTATTTACATATCCAATTGCAATACGTTCATAATAAGCAAAGGCAGTTTTTATTCGAAATTGAATTCGTTCGAAACACAATTTATTCCTGGAAATTTAAAATGTATAATATACGTACGCATGGAACGAACTTTTTCTTTTTTTATAAAATAAAAATTGTATTCACGCGGAGGGCGTTACATACGACTTCATCGTACAAGAAATTCAGCGTAAAAATGTATATAGTCGCAAGATAAACAGGACTCAATAATCGCTATCTCGAAGTTGTTAAATAAATACATTCTTGAAGAATATTCGCGACACTTAATTTCTACATTTGAATTTAATTACACGTATTATTTTTATCGTTCCTCTAAAATTACTGTTTCCTGGGGACAGAATTTCAGATCCATCAAAGTGAGCTTTGAATCCATGGATGTTAACTGGAATAAAAATGAATATATTATATATATATATATATGTTGTAAATATTATTTAGTTTAATAAATTTTAAGAATGATTTCATTTAAATTTATTTATTTTTTATTCACATTTTAAAATTTAATTTTTATTTTAAAGCGAAAGAGAACGATATAAAAAAAAAATCAAATAAATATCATCAGAAATGTCCAACTTTATACCAGTGACGCAATTACTAGTGCTCCAGTTCTATCTCACTCCATCTTCTCTATCTCTCTTGGCGAGAGAATGAAGAAAGAGAAGCGTTTCAGGAGCTAAAGTTGAATATGCCTGATCTACATAATAAGACTTAAATGCTTACATCATCTACTTACATCCCTTCGAGGCCAACTAGATAGGAGCTTATATTCTTCTGTAGGATAACCTTCCACAATAAGGAAATTAAAGAGCGTTTGTAATGGCGTATCTGATTGAAATTTACGTTCCAGGAATTTTCCTGCTGGAAGCCGTACTCTTACTTTCATTACGCCATCGCCTGCTCCCTGTTGCGGTTCAGGTGGTAAACTAGATTCTACAGCTTGCCTATGAGCTTCTTTTCTCGCTTTCTCAGCTAATCTTTCATTTTCAGCCTGCTCTTTCTTTTTCTTTTCGAGTTCCTCTTGCATCTGTTTCGCTTCTTCTTTTGCTCTTAAAATAAATTGTAAACATTTTTTATCCAATGTAAATCGTTTACACACACACACACACACACACATATAGACATTTCTTCCTTCCTCTCAACAATTTAGATATCTTTTTTTAAATTACCTATCAGCTGCCAAACTTTCTTGATATGCTCTATCTTGTTCTTGTTTGACTCTTTCTCTAGCTTGTCGTTCTTCTTCAACACCAATATCAGCTCGTCTTTGTTCCTATAAAAAAATAAAAATAAAAAAAAACAGTTGTATAAATCGAAGTCTATATTTATACCCATACTGTTATTTTTCAACAGTATGTGTGTGTATAAAATAAAAGCTACATTTCTTACTTGGAACACATCGACGGCTTGTACCAAATTCGTTAGTAACTCATTAACACCTACATTGCCATGAACGATAGTAAATATCTCTGTATTAGATCTAGATCTCATAATAATCATAAGAACTGGCAAGGTATCAACATCTATGCTCGACACAGCCAATGAACCAACAGTACCAAGGGTTTGAGTCACAGAATACAAAAATCTGAAAATCAAATGAATATTTAACGCAAGCTCGATAAATTTTTAACATCGTATATTTGTACAAACTTTACCTTTCTTTGTTAGATTCATATGTGATGTCCCAACCCCATACTATAAAATTTGCCGAAAGAAGTTGAAGCACCGTTTCGAAGCCTAACAGTTGAGTACAAAAGACGTTTGCTAAAACACTGTTATCGTGGTGCAAATATACAGCCAATAATTTTCTCTGTAATAATATAAAATTATATATTTCCATCCAGTTTTATATATTTATCGTGTTTTTGTCAATATTTAGAACAAACCTCTTTCGCTGGTTTTAGACACGATTCTTTCAGTGCATCTTCGAATGTACCAGTAAAAAATTCCGGATGTGCCGGTCCGTATCGCTTTTCAAATTGCTCCGCAAAATGTAACGTACCCATCACTTCATCTACTACATTTTCTGGCACTATTTATAAATAAAAAAATACATTATTAAATTATGATACTGACATCATTTCAATAAAACAGTAGTTCCCTTATGATACAAAACACTCACTGAGACGTTCTATTTTAGTGGGTTTAACATCGTCTATGAAAATATCATCGTCGCCAGTAAATTCTTCTGGAACATCAAATTCTTCCACATCTTCTGGTTCATCTATTGAACTATCGCTGTCAATTAGATCTACGACTTTCTGAAATATAAAATACAAATGTGTGTATTATAATTTTATATAAATAGAAAAAAATTTATTTCTCCGACGAGACATTACCTTCTTTTCTTCCTTCGCTGGAAGTTTTCCGACGGATAAATCATGCTCCGGATAACATATACCACTTTGCGCCAGTATTACATTATCATCCTTCAACGAACTAGGCCAACCCTTCCACTGTTGATTTCGTACAGGTACATCTATTAACGAGTAGATGTCCGTCTTCACTTCTAGCACAGTACGTGTACCAGGAAACTTCAACTTGTATGTTTTATTATGCACTTCGTCTTTGACGTTTAATGTATATGTCTGAGTCATACGATCTGATGACAGAATGACGCTGGAACGAAAAAATATAAATTTGTGATTATAATAATCATAAAATTACATTGATAAAATTTACACAACTTACGCCTCATTAGCCAAGTCACCATCTTGTGGCAAAGATGACTGTAGATATAAAGTATTTTCTCTAGGAAGATCTAACGTCTGCAGCACGGTATTCGGTGTCATATTCGCAAATTCTTTTTTCCATCCATAAAGTTTCTGTTGACAAGGTGGTACAGTTGTTTTACACCATATAAATTGCTTAAGATCTCCTGAAAAAAGAACAAAATAATTTTGATTTGTTCCATCTTAAATTTTTGTTAATTATCAAAATCATCTTTATTTCTAATATTAACAATTTTCACTTACTCAAAGTGGATAAATCTGATAAATTTATTTTATAAACGTTATCGAGATAGTTAATGTGGAATGTAAGTTGTCTATTCTTCATGCAACTTTTAGGTCTACTTGTCCCAGGTTTTGCACTTTCTACTATGTCTGCTTTCATGGCTCCTGTCTTTTTCGAGTTCTGCACTGTTTGTAACTTTGATGACGATGACGATGAAAGTGGTGTTACTTTAATTTCTTCTACCATTTCTATATCAGGAGCCATTTCAGAAGGAAGCTGCTGAGTAGTTTGGGGCATGGCCTTATTTATCGCAGCCTAAAGGGAGGAGATATATGTTGAGATAATCAAAGTTGCTACAATTATGTTTCCTTTCTAATAAGAAACAATGATCCATTATAATAATGAATCATTTAATCTTTGTTTAACATTGAAAAACAACAAAGATATAATGATTTATTATTGGAGCTTTCCAACAAGAGATATAATATAACAATGATCATTTTACTTTTCACATTAGCAAAGAAAAATATAATAAGACACTGTGTTATACTGCATTATCTATGTCTCTTGTCGAAGAAAGTATTTATGCTTTAATTATATTTATATTTACCAACAAATCCCAATTTGTTTGTTCCAAATATAAAATTGCTTCTCCGAAATCATCAATTCCAGTACAAGCCTGAAAATAATTTAATTTAAAAGACAAATACAAAGAACGCAAAATGAAAAATCACAGTAATATTTATACGAAGATATGTCATCGATACTCATCTGAGAATTCGTTAGGTTTTAAAACAAAGACATGCAAGACGACATGACAAAGGAATTAAGCGAAAGTTTTTGCGAATTTTGGCAAATCATGATGTCAGCGCGATTTGATCAATATAAGTTATATATTTGAATGCACCGTTAAGTTTTGAAGTATTATGAAAAAAGTTTATTGGATATTTCGAAAAAGTTCTTGTCTCAAATGCAAACAAATTATTGTCAATGTCATGTACACGTAACTCCATAACCTAAGAATGCATTTGCGTTGTGCTTGTGAAAAGTTTCTAGAATTCATCAATTTACCTGAAAGTCAGCTAGTATCGCGTCCCGATTTTCAGCCATCGCAATAAAATTCCAACACAAAGATTGCAAGACGTCCAAGTTCAACGATACTCTCGCGTTCTATTATCTTATAGCTATTACAAATAATATGAACAACAACCGCGAGCCATTGAAGTCTTGAACCACGAAATTTTCACGTAAGATACTCGGCGTCTCATTGCACGTATTGTACGATTATATAGTAACACAGTCTGTGGCAATAAGTGAGAAGCACAGACTCTTGCATAACGCATAAAACATGAGGCATAAGAAAATCAACCAATTAGAGTTCTTTATTTCATGAAAAGGAAAGAAACGAAGGACTTTGATTGGTACATTTTCTTATGATTACGTGTTATGCGTTATGCAAGAGTCTGCTCTTCGTTTTATGCTCGTCTACAATAAACAGTATCAATAGATGTTGCAGACATATTGGATCAGAATGTAAGAACCAATCAACTACAATCGAGTATTTCCTATTACAGTCGAACGACAGGGGAATGCTGTCGTTGGTTGGTTCTTACATTCTGATCCGAATTAACCTCTCGATGAAAACTAGGCCATTGTCTATGGCTATGGTTAAAGTCTCGCTACAAATGCTTTGAAGCATTTAATGGACCAATTAGAAGAAAGAATTTTATAAATCAGTTAAAAAAGCTTCAAAGCGTCGCGTTTACAGCATCGCGTTGACCGTACCCTAAAGGTGCATTTTCACGAGCTGTTTAAACTGAGCGAAATCGCGTTTCTGAGGATCAATTCACAAAAATGAACGCATTTACTAGAATACTGATAATTTCATTGATCAACATCTAGTAAATTTGCTCACTTTAATAATTTTCATCTCGTTTCAAGAATGGAATCGATCTCCTTGTTTGAAGATACAGAATTGACCTTATAAAATAGACGGAGCATTTATACGAGAGAAGCTGAAGACATTGAAGAACAGCTCTATTCCAGACATAGTTGTTTCTCTCTTTTTTAGTGAGCGGTAGGGGAGCCAATCAGCTTGATCATAAGGCCACAACTCTCGAACGTCTATCTTCGTTGCTCTCAGCCACTTCCCAGCTTGTCGCGACCAATCAATTCCATTAGAAAAGAAGAGAAATACTCCTCGATTATTTCTTTCTCTTTCTATTAAGTTTTCAGGCTTCTCTCGTATGAATGCTCCATCTATCTTATAAGTCTATGGAATTGACTCCTTACGCAGGAACTTCAAGGAGTTCCAGCGATGGACCCGGTGGAAGTTCCGTCACTACGTCAAGGTGGCACACCATGGAGTGGAATTGTTAAAATTAAAATAATTTGATAGACAGTTACTAGTCAATTCTGCTGAACAACAAATGCGATTGGTCAGTTTTAATGTAACAATCAAATCGATTTAAGTTAATCGGAATTGATGAAATCGCCCATGTGAATCCTCCATAATATTCAATTTTTTATATGTCTAACCTAATATTCAATTATAAAAAATGTATAACATTTAAATTATTTAAATATGTTATATTAGGTGTAGTAAAAAAAAATCCATTATTTTTGCATGAAATTGAATGGAAAAATAATGGATTTCTTTTTACTACACCTAATATTTTTAATGTTACAATATACAGAAAATGTTTTTTAAATTTAGTATAAGTTTAAAAAAAATTTTTTATAAAATAAATAAAAAATTAAACAATTTATAGGAACAAAAAGGAAGTAAAAAAAGTGAAAACTGTGGCTCAAGAGAGAAAATATTCTCCACTTAAAGTAAGAAGAAATTATTTATTTTTGGTATGTTTGATCAGCTTAATTTAATTTAATTTAATTTAATTTAAATTATATTAATAAACTTTTTTTTTTTGTGGAGACGACAACGAACGTTCGCAGCTGTCACAATTTTGAAAATAAGTAATATGGAAAATATAAATAGAATATATACATATGTTGCGATACAAGAAATTATGATTTCCGTCATTATTTTTATTATTAATCAGTTATAAATACAAAACAAACATGCCTTCAAAGTATGGATTTTTATTACTGCTTGTTTGCATAGGATGTGTTTTGTTATTTATTACGTTCATGGAGAAAAGTTTATGGTCAAAGAAAGAAATTCCGAAAATAAATCTAATACAGCTTGAAACAATATATGAAGTAACTGACACATCATCAGAAATTTCTAGAATCATAATTGAGCCATCATGCAATGCTACTTTTGCGATATGGATTGTCACCTCTTATGCGGGTGAGCCTTCAGCAAGGAGCGCTTTACGGCGAGCTTATACAGATGAAGAGTTGCAGGCTTTAGGAATCAGAAGAGTATTTTTACTCGGTACATTAAATGAATATGCCGAAAAGAAGACACATATACTGCAAAACGCATTGTTGGACGAGTCACGACGATTCAATGACTTACTTCAGGGAGATTTTTTAGACACTTATAGAAATTTAACTCGCAAGCACCTAATGGGCCTTCAGTGGGCAGCAAATAATTGCAAAAATGTTAAATATATTATGAAAATGGACGATGATATTATTGTAAATATATATGGTATATTAGAGAAATTACACTCAGGTATGATAGAAAAGAATTCTTTGACTGGTTATATTATGAAGAATATGATTCCTGTTCGAGAACCAGCCAATAAATGGTATGTGAGTAAGGCGGAATATGCAGATAATATTTATCCCGACTTTGTCTCTGGCTGGCTGTATATCACGCATCCACAAATAGCAAGTCGACTGATTGATTATGTCGTGTCTTTCCATGATTACTTTTGGATAGACGATGTGTTTGTCACTGGTATCCTCAGACAAGCTCTAAATATAAAAATTCAAAATATCAGTGAGTTATTTACGACAGATTATAGATATTTGGAATGTTGTATAAAGGGAAAAACAAATCTACTGAAATGCGAATTCTTGGCTGGTCCTAATGGCGGCGATACAGAGTTGCAAGTGAGATTCAAGGAATTTGCAAAATTTTGCCATGCAAATTGTTCCATCCGTAAGGAGAATAATCTTGTTGGCAAGACCTGCGTGATGGCGTACAAGGAGCCAAAATTATACAAAGGTGCTGTGCAAATAAGTCCAGTCAGAATTTTATAAAGAAATAATAGAGGAAAGGGTAGGTAGAATGAGATTAACAATTAATTAACTTCAATAAATTGTATATTATTTTATTACCAAGAAAACATTTTCTATTTATTATAATATATAAAATTTGTACAGTATATTTTACACATTATTATATAAAATTTTATAGAATTGTAGTTATTTATTTTACCTATCTTTTTATGTGTCAAATTCTTATGATAATTACTATATCACAATATCCTATATATATGTGATATACAGTTTCTCTAACGTAAAATAAAGTTGATCCAAATTTTTAAGTTTACATTTTCTTAACACAAAAACAATTTGAATGTTATTTTCAAAGATCTTATATACAGATCTTAATGATTGAAACATTTATTTTATCTTTTAGTTATCATCAAAAGAATGAATCAAATTAAAAATAATTATTTATTATAGATAAAAAAATTAAAATTAAAATCTAAAAAAGCAAATTACATTTCTATAGATTTTTTGAATATATTACAAGAGATACAAAAGATTATAGCAAATCTGCAATTTTCACAAATGAAAATAAAGATGCAATTTTATTTACTTTAGATAATTGGAAGTACAAATGATATCTTTCGATTCTATCAATAAAAATATTTTAACATAATTACAGCCTTAGCCAAAAAAACCACAAATTGATGTAATTGATGTAAATATTTTATATCAAACGAAAAATAAATTAACAAAGTTCTATTAAGAAATAAAATTTTATCATTTTAATTATAACAGAGAGAAACCTGAGATTGGCCATGCCCGGGATTTACTTTATTTTGAAGCGGCTCTATGTCTAAAATTATATGTAATTGTTATAAAAATTATATTTATTTTATAACAATTTTAGCATTTCGTTTTCCTTCAGATTTTATTTTATTATCGTTTCAGATTTTTATGTCTAACGCTGCAGATATTTGTATCAATTTTCTATTAAAATATTTAATTTTAATACATTGAGAAGATAATATACATGAGAAGCTGTTATCTAATTTTAAAGTAGAGATTTCTTTTTCGGTAACTGAAAGGTTGCACCTAAGCATAAATGATCACTGCCTACTACAAAATTTGGTATTCGGGTTAGTTCGGCACATTGACTTACTGTAGGTAGAACGTATTTCTCTAAAGGCTGGACGTTACTGTAGAATATATAATCCACTGTAATCCACTCGTCCTGATGTGTCGTTGCTTCTTTCTCACCATGAGCGCCTACATGCGTATAAATGCTACGCATGTCAAAGGGATGCGTTAAAGTACCGGACGAGAATCTCGCGGAATGACCTTTCACAATCTCGATAACTTGCGTGCAATCGGTATCACTGTTTGCGCTCTGTTGTAACACATTCGTATTACAAGGTGTGAGCATATCTAGTTTTTGAAGACATGATTCGCTGTTTTCCAGCTGGAAGAAATGAATAGAGAAATATCTTAAAATACAATTAAAAAAAAAGATTGGAAAAAAAAGAGAAAATATGGAATGTATAATTAAAACTACTGTTTTCGGAATCTTTTTCTCTTTTTTCGAAAAATTTTAAATATAAGCATGAATATTGATGGTATTCATCAAAATATATTAATCAAAATAAATTTTTTAAATTAAAATAAATAGGCAAAAAAAATTAAGATTTTATATACATATATAATCCATACAGCACAGATCATTCTAGCAATATTGTAGCAACATTTGCAACATCCCAATAATGTTGCAGTATGATGTTGCTGCAAGCTTCTGCGCTATATAGGAATTGTTATATGTTCAAAAACGTACCATAACTTTACCGGTGCCTTCTCTTTGCAATCTTTGAGTCAGGATATTAAAGTGTTGACAGTTATCGGTAACGCATAATCGCGGTGGTATTAATGAATTGGACAGAGAACGATATCGAGACGGCTCTAAACTTCGTCCTTTTCCATAATACTTAAATGAACCTTTTGTTAGGAACTTATAAACGCCCGTGAATGGCTCCAAATTGAAGTCGCCTGCGAGTATAATTGGTAAATACTTCGGGCCCATTCTGCAAAGTAATTTTATAAATTTTAATATTTGCATAAAGATCTCTTATCAAACATGATGAGCAAATAATTTTTCAAAAGCGTGCTCTCACGTTGTGTTCTCGATGAATGCAATCCGTTCTATTTCCGCTAACAAAAGCTGTATCTGCGCCAATCGTACGTCGTTGCGTTTCGGATTATATAACAAGTGAGTAGTAGCTATAACGATTTGCGCTTCCGGATTGTCTTTGAGGGCTAGTTTAGCGATTATACCAACGTTATCTCTATTTAGAATCTCGATTCCGGGTTGATATAATTCTACCTTTGCATAATCTAACAAAATAAATTCATTGGAGCGATATAATAAAAGTAAGCCATCCTTCTTGTCATTGGTTCTTTTTTTATACAGATATTCATATCCATGCTGTTTGAATGGAGCCACGAAATCTAGCAGATGTTCCTCCTGCATTTCCTGAAGGCATATTATCTGGAATATTCGATAATATAATAGCAGATATTCTTTAAGTATTTAGTTTCAGGTTTAACAACATTAAATGCCGAAGAATAAATATGTACATTTGCCTCCGCCTCGAATATTTCTTGTATCACAAGGGATTTTCGTGTTTTCCAACTTAAAGCTTTCTTGTTATGATTGTATAGATACGAGTGATCTTCCAACAGATTTTGTGCCAAGATATTAAAGGACAAGAGTTTCAATATGAAAAAATCTTCCATATTATTGGATGGTCTATCTAAAAATGTTTGAAAAATTATGTTCTTTGGGCGGAAAGAACAATTAGGTAAATAATAATAAGTGAATCTAGACAAATATGTGAATACAAGCAGAAATATGCTCTATACAGTCAAGGCTAGATCTCTTAGGCCAATATATAGTCAGTTCTTATATTAAAGACCGTCTTAAGTTCTGTTTTTGTTATCACGAACCAATTAAGAGAGCCGTATTAACATCTTAAGATATTACTTAAGACAGTCTTGAACGAATTATGAATACTGATCTTAATATTTCTTACTTAATTTTTGTTTATAAATACATTTCCCCATTCTACAAACTGTGCTAAGTAAATCATGTTATATATATCTACATCCATTATATATTATACATCCATTTGAAAAAAATGTAATGTTTAAACAAGAAAGAGTGACTTTTACCTTTCTCAATTCGTTTCCACTTCCTTATAGTCTTGTATCTTTTTTTGTCTATATAATTTCCATAAGTGTCAGCTGTACATAAGTTAGCTTTAACATTATGTGTCGTATCCGCAAAATCAGTCTGACAATAGAGTAGTGCATTCGCTAGGTCGCACATTGTATTAGTGTTGCTTTGGTTGTAGCAAGTGTCAAAATAAGGCTCCATTTTGACTTCTGTACACTTCTGACGGGATGGAGAATTATCCATAGAGACAACAAGCTTCAAGTAATTGGAGATCAAAGCTTTCCAGATGGGACTCTTACACAAATTTTCTAAGAGTAATTGTTGCCAAGTTGGCTCCAGTGTACAAAAGATCTGAAAAGGAATCATACAATGAACAAGATTATAAGGCTCAACATATTAGGCTCAACAAGCATGATCAATCTTCCGTACAAATACTGAAAATCTAATGTACAATGCCAGTACTGAAAATCTAATATATATACTGTAAGGTTTTAGTAGCACTAGCAGTGTATACTGAAGCACAGTTCAAAAATAAGGAAAAAGGAAACTTAGAAGGTAAAAAAATGATTATTAATTGAGCTTAAAATCGCACATTTTTTACATTTCGGAGCCATGTGTTTACGATCGAGAGTATAGATCGAATTTCTCCTCCAGAAGAGATCAGCGTTCTAACCTAACAATAACCGTCGCGTCATAATAACGGCAGAGTTAAGGTCAACCGTGAGATTCTCGGCAAGGCGAGGAAGGGGGAGAGAGGGGAGGATAAGAGACGCGAGGGCTGCGTTTGTGCGGGAGATGCGCTTACCTTTCGCGATTGCAGAAACGTTGCCGTCCGCGCGTTACATGCTATGTTTAGCAGAGAAGCGGTGCTCGTCAGCAGCAGCCTCGGGGATACGCTCATTTATCAGCGCGGATTTTGATTTTTTTTTTCACGCTCCTATCATAACACGCGTCGGGATTGTCGAGATCTGGCACCGTTAGCGTGGGCACTGCTTCGATGTGTACATACCGCGCGACGTAAAATGCGTGATTCCTCAGGTACAAGGCCGCAAGGCCTGATCTCCCGCTCGTTCTCGATTCCGTTGTAGAAAAGACACGATCTGCCAAGGAAATCGAGCCAAGGAAGAGTCGCGGGACCAGATCAGTGCAGTCTCGTTCCAAATCAATCGTTGACCCTGATGAAGCGAGTTTAGTTCTCCATTGCACGTATATAGTATATAGTATACACGTATATAGTATACACATATACATATAGACGAACGGAAGGTGGAGGGGAATACGAACGCGATTTAATCGAGATCCATATTCGTTGATATTCGTATTCTGTATATTTAGCTGGGCACAAAATGATGAGCCTTGCTGAACTTCTTGCACGATTTATACTTCCTCTTTTTTTTTCAACGAAAGAAAGGGGAGAAAAATGAACCGTACAAGAAGTTTAATTAAAAAGAACAGACCTCGTATAATACCGAATGCTGCGTGCGTGTCGCGCGCGAAAAGTCGAAATCAGCGATAATTATTGGTGTTTTTTCGTTGTACAACCAAAAACAACCACGGCTAAAGCTATCTTCGTCTTCTGAAGACGAAGATAGCTTTAGTTGTGATAGCTTCTGGTTGGATAACGAAAAAACGCCTCATGTTTCACGCGCAAGTTCAAGAATGAATGGGAGCGTTAATTAATTATAATTAAACACAAATTGATCAGTCATAGTCGAACGTGAAAATAATTGATTATGATTGGTCAATTTTTAAGGCATTATTATACCTTATATTTATTGTGTATCAAGACTTAAAAAAGAAATTAAAAATAATATTATTAGTAATCTAATTTCGCTTATTTCTTTTCCTCGTATGATGATAATGATGATAAAATAATATCTCAACTAAATGCCTATAAAAATCAAACACAGGATGTTCACGTGAACATCGAACATGTAAATATCCTGTGTTTAGCTCTCATAGACATAATATTTAATTGATTTATTCTTTTGTTTTTGAATTTGTTTTTATTGTAAAATAATATCTATAATAAGATGGATATGTGTAAATTAGATAGATAAGATAATAATGAAATAATGAAGTAATATTAATTAAATGATAATTAAATGATTAAAGAATATTTTAAAGGTGTGCGTAATTAAAAAATAATTAACTATCTAATAAAAATAACTTGATTAAGTTAATCGTTTACCTAAAATCATTCAATGTCTATTTCTACCAATATAGATTAACTTAATTGGCAATGTGTAGATAAACTTGATTAACAATAATTACCAAATAATTGTAGTATTTTGCGAACGTGAATAGAATTTGTTAATTTTTTATTGTTTAAATACATAGAAAAAGAATTAAATTAAGGACAATGAATTATTAGTTGAGTTAACGAGATTAACACTTTATTTTGGTCAAAATCACTCTAATATTCATTTCTACAAAAGATTAGATCTTAATTTCAATAATTTTAATTTAAACTCGATTTAAGTTATTTTTTTTTAGTTTTAAGAATTAGAAAGAGTATAATAAAAAGTATAGTGAATCGAGATTAAAGTTGTTCCTTCGAGATTGACATCAAAATCTGTAACACTGTAATTACTATAATACTCACTTGTTTGTGACATTATTTAATTTATGTTGATTAAAGAACATTAATTAATTTTTCAAGGAATGACATATCTCGTACAATAAAAAAGAATATAAATATTAAGTTTATTTTAATAATGATTCAAATTTGTAGATATGACATAAAGAATATAATTGAATTTAATAGACTTACTGTTAGCTCCGGAAGATTAATCTACATTAGTACATACTTAGAAATGGGTATAAGAAGCGCAAAAAATAAAGATAACGAGAAAAGAAACTTACTGTTAAGATACACTATCACTTTTAAAGATATGCTTTACTGCGAATAGAAAATTAAAGAACTGTTGTTCGGATGAACCTCGTGGCTTCTGGAACGAGCTTTCAACGACAAGTGACAATAATCTCTTTTATTTCTTCTCAAGAAAAGATTAGATTCTGTAAGCTGGGTTTTGAATAAAGCACGGTCTCTATTTATTTTAACGTAACAGACATAGGTGAGTGACAGTTGAACACGTGTATTTTCAACAACAACGAATTGGTAATGCTCAATATTAATGCTTTGTGCTTCCTCGCGATGATGCTCGTTGATGATAACACACGTTACTGAAATTCTTTTCTTTCCCTCTTTCCTTTTCTTTTATGGAAATATACTTATATTCTTGCTCGCTTCGGGAATACCGACAATATAATCTAGCAATAAGAGCATGTCGCATCAGTAATGAGAAACTTACAATAGAGAAACTTACAATAGATGTTAATATGGATATTTATGTCGGGGGTTTATAGACATGTAAAATATTTCTTCATAGTATATGGTATAGATAAATTTTTAGCTGCCCTTCTCCGATTTTTTTAAAACTTTAAAACTTCATTCTTTACATATATTTTTTATAGCTGAGTACAAATTTGAAAGAATTTTTTGGCGATCGAACATATTTTTCGATCGTCATCTTGAAAATTATAAAAAAAACTTTCGATATTTCCTAAAATATTGATTATACCAAAAAAATGTGAGATTAATATTAAGATATAATAAAACATATAAATATAAATATACTTTATAAGAACTCTCAATCTTTAAAAATAACAACAATAAATTAATTCAAGGCTAATAAGAGTCAGTGCGGGGGGGGGGAGAAGGAGTGTGCAAGTTATTAATTTGGAATGATTAACTTAACTTTAATTGTTCTGTGATATCTTCTTTCTTCATAAGTCTTTATTTCATCACATAAATCTCTCTCAAGGTTTATGGATAAAGAAAATATCGCAGAATAGAATAGAATCGTATTCTCATAATTTTATCTGAAATTGTCGAATTTCTCATTCAAAAACTGTAAGCAGTAATAATTTCAGTTTTGCGAGCACAACAAAAATTTTTCATAACATCCTTTTTGCACACGTTTAAAATTGGATATAAAATACAAAATAGATACGATAAATATGGAATGTATAAAAAGTAGAAATAACTTAAGTAGTGATACATATTCGCTTTATTTAAAAACAGCATTTGAAAGGCACTATGTACATATTATATACACGCAAATTGTGTGTCTCGACTTTTATGGTATGTAGAATAATATGTAGAATGTTTGACCATATGGAACTATAGCAACAATTTGCTATGTATACATGTAATGTGTATACAGTTCGTTATATCATGTTGCTGGATGATATTTTAATTATTATCAGGAACGCGATATCGAGGAATATCAGAAAACGTTGCAATGCATATAAAAATCGAATGTTATGTACATCATTGGCATCTTTTAATAAGTAGACTTTAGTGTCGGAGATAAATCTGTTTGTACTAAATTTACTAAGATAATTGCAGTTTTTGTGCATCGAGATATGTCAAGAGATACAGTTTTCCTGTTTCACTTGATTCTGTAAAAGATATGCCACCGCAAGAATACATTCATGAAATCTCATTGTTTTCTACAGTTACTGAATTGCACTTTGATTAATTTTATATGATAGGTTTGTTATTTCTGTATTAAATTGTATAAGAACTCTCTTTTTCACTTTCGTCAAATATCAAACATATACCTATCTTACATTAGATTTCAAAGTATAGTTCAGCCATAGAAAACAGATCTAATGATTGAAGCGAATCAATTTCATCGTTGCGTCATTGCAATCAAATGCGTCAATTGTAAATATTCGAATTTTAATCTTCCAAAAAATTAAAATTCGGATACAATGAATTATAAAAAATTATTGAATATACTTAGAAATAAAACAATTACAGATATTTTAAAGAATTGTCCCAAATATGTGGCGATATGTTTTTCGTAAGATGTGATATTTTCAGATAAAAATATATTATACTCATACCTAAAAGTATATAGCAAACTGCTTTCCTTTAAATTGTAATAGAAATGTTTGAATAGACAATTGTACGATTAGGCAATTATGCAGTGAGCGTCAGTAATTATGTTTCATTAAATCCAAAGTTTTTATATAAAAAACGTGAACAATTATTTTTACATGTTCCTTTTTCTTTAATTGCATGTTTCGTTTTGTCTTTTCAATTACAAATTTAGAATAAAACTCAACTAACAATAATAGAACAATAAAATGTCAAAGTCCATTTTGGAGAACATTGAACGCGGCTCCCAATGCCCAACTTAATTCATGACCATTGATCTTCTTATAAAGCTACAAAAATGAAGAATATTTTGTTATCCTTAAAAACACTGTAGTAAAAAAAATAATATCACCATATTATATAACTTTGCTTACATGCAGTTTAGTCGACGGTTCCAAGCCAAATCCATCTCTTAGCAGAACATAAATAAATGTCAAATCCAAGCACATGAATGGTTGATCTGTGTTTGGATAGTCACATGTCTCCATGGCTTGTTTAAAAAATGAATTCAATTGCACCATTCCGCCCGAAAATGGATCTATTAATGCAACCTAAAAATATCGAGAATACAAATATTACAATATTTATATTTGCAGATACAATATTTATATTCACAAATATTATATTTATATTAAAAAGCTATACTTTTTTTCCTAACATATAAATTATAAATATGACAAATATAAGAAATATGTATTTCTCATATTTATGAAGTTCGTTAATTTATATGTTAAGAAAAAAGTATAGCTCTTTAATATTAAATAAATCTATATCTCATTAGATACTCATATAATTAAAAAATATTTCTAATGTTTTATTTTTATATTATTACATTCATATCTTGTTTTATATTATTTATGTGTTGTATTCTCTTATATTATTAAATTATCTATAGATATAATAAAAAAGGATTTTATTAAATGTTTATGCATTAATGAATCAATATTTATTTGATTTTCATAACTTTTTGAATCTTTACCTCAGTCGCACGTTCAAAGTAGTACGAAAAAGCGTATACTTCGTGATCCTTCAAACCGATTGGTTTTTCTGTGAGAGTACCAACATATTTCTCAATAATCTTTAAACATTCCGCAAAGCGTACAATCGGCTTATTCTCATCTCCGCCAGCAAAATTTTGTGTTTTAACTAGTTTGTATGTGCCATTTGTTGGGCCTTTTACAATATAATCACGCCCTTGGTAAGACCATTCGGTAGATACGATCGGATTGATGCACTCGGAATGTATCTCTGTGGGAACTTTGAGACTTGTATCCTCAAGATTCATATCATAAGTCAAAATCGCCTTTCTGGCGGCCATTAGACCCATGCCTAAGTAACTGTGCGTGTACAGACTCATGTTGTGATTGAATACATTGATGGAGTAAACATGTTTTTCTAATTTTTTCGTTTGGACGCCATCCGGTTGAAACGTAACTTGCGTAGAACCACCACCGAGATCCAACGCAGCTACGGTAGTCTGAGAGCTGAGCGAATTAAAGCGATCCAATAAGAAATTGACGGTAAACCAGGAAAAGATTCCCTCATCTGTGCCTTCCATTATGGAGATAGAATTTCTCGCGATCTGGAATCCGGACGTTTGAAACAACTTTCTGCACTCCTCTAGTATGCCATTGGCTTTATGCTCTGGCAACAACCTCAGCCCTGCTGTGGCCTTCATCGTCAGCAGCGTACGAGGCCATTCTGACTGTGGAATCACCGCCTTCGCCTCGTTCAGAAGTATAGTTAGAGACTTTGCGGCATCCTCCGGTTTGTCGGCAAACGAGCTCAAGCCAGGTTTTATTTCTTTGAATAGTTCATTATCAAGCACTAAATTGCCATTGAGAATGGACTCGTGAAAGCTAAACGCTAATACACGGCTACCAGTAGATCCAGCGTCGATGACAACCACATAGAACGGTTTTTGTAAATTAAATGAAAATGCTAAGGTATCAATAGCCTTACTTCCTATTCTGATAGGTTTTAAGTCATTCGCTATGGCTATGTAACCTAGGAACAATGTACCAAGTACTAGTAGCATGGTGAAGTATTTCTTTCCAGGCTGACTGGTGATTTTCTTCTGGTAGGATGCCAATTCATTATCGCGCTCCTCTTCATTTTCAGTTCTCAGCTAAAAATACAAGACAATTATTGCAAGAAATATCTAAATTTACAGCACATTAGATTTTAATCAATTAAAAATGACAAGATTAAAAGTAACAAGATTAAAAGTGACGTTATATTGTTATTAATATTATTACATAATATCACATTGTATTTTGTTTTTAGTGTCGATTAAGATGTTTGTATATATTGTATCACATGCAACACTCTTCCATAAATACTTTGAATAATAAAATATCTATTCAAACAGAATACAAATCATCAACCTCAAAATGATCACTAAAAGTCACTTTTCATTTATGATTCATTTTGACGTTCGAGTATATATTGTTTTTAGGAAACTGCAGTATTTTAAAGAAACCATATATTATGCAAATCACGTTACAACAAATTCAGAATAGTTACACATGTATGTACTAATGTAACACTTCCTTCCATCTCTAATTATAAATTTTTGGGATTGTCTTTTCTACCAAGAGTGACTTTGATTAAACCCAACTAATTTAATTTAGCCTGAATTATTCGCAGCGAAATTTCTATAATTATACAATTTGTTTTTTCTTAATTTTCCTTCTACACATGTCAACAAAAAATAATTCTCTCATTAATAAAAACACAAGTTCAGTTTGACAAGAATGACTTTGATCAAACTTCTGTCACTTCACTTTTACCAATTCAACCATCACCCAATTATAATCACAATAAAATTTTCCTAACAAAGAATCAAAAAGTAAATAAATATTGCCACTTTAATACAACTCATCATTTTTAATCTTTCCTTTTACATATTGAATAACAAAAATATTGAATACAAAAATCAATAAAAAATCATCGTCTCATCCAGTTAATAAATAGGTTTTACCCGGAACAACTAATCGTCAATTAAATCAATAAGAATTTCAAGATCATCCTGGGTCAATCGTTGTTCGGGTTAATTTGTTGAGATCATAACACAGGAAGGACAGACAATGTTAACCTAATCTGGGCATCGCGACAGGCATAAGGAGAATATTTTACGTGATGAGATTTTTTTGCATCGTTTCTACTCACGAGCGTGTATCGCATCTAGGGCGACCCGTACGATCCGTCGGATGACGAGTGCTTGTCATGTAAAAAAATAAATAAATAAAACAGAGTGTGTCGGAATTGGTGGGTGCGCGACGGCCGGGTGGGGATTTAGGGAAGCGATGTGGCTACCGCGTGGCGATGACGCGTGCAGCCGTGCATCAACGTGCATCGTGCCCTCGGATTTGGATGTAATTGTCATTGCGCACTTGTCGCAGGTGCGTACATTTGACGCTCACAGCGCTTATAAATGTAATTTGTCCTTGTTTAACCTTTAAGTAGATAAGTACGCTCAAAATACTCCACATAAATTCGGTTTTCATAATATTTTTTAACATTCACAGTCAAATTTACATTAGATTGATATTTTTATGAGATAGAGGAATGCAAAAATAATCAATGCTACTTTTGGACGATTCTTTTTATTTTCTTTTTCTAGAACAAGGTTTTTAAAATAATTATACGTAGAGTGATGTAGCAACCTCCTTGATTAATATTTGATTGAAATAACAAAGGTTGCTTAATTGTGACACATAAGTTACGACACAAACATCATTCTGTCTTAGCGTTTCAGTGAGTAATAAAGATAGAACGACACTTGGGTCACTCAATTGTATCAAATGAGAAGTACTCAAGAATAAAATAATTTCCAGAGCGCTGAATAGTAAATGGAGCGCAACCTGGGTGTCAATGGGTATCACGTGACGAGGCGCGAGCCACATGGGACGCAAGAGGCATGGAATTCGAAATTCGAACTCTAATCTCTTGTGCACGTATTTATATACACGCTCGCACACATGCATCGTTACGATTCATCGGGTACGTTCGGTTTTATCTATAATGCGCATGAATGTATCATTTTATCTTTCTTTAATATTATTCCGTGAATAACAAGGATGGAATTATACGCGTGAGGATCATGGGTGAAACACAGAATGCACTCACGGAAGACACGGCGACGCGCTTCCGCGTTCGACGTTCGTTCCGACGAGCGTTCGAGACGAACGGCGTAGATCAATACGATAAATTCGCTTACGCACCTTTCGACGTCTCACGCTCATGTTTTATTCAGCGGACGACACGACGGTAGACCACAACAATGACGACGACGGGATAAAAAGACGATTGATTCGGAGAAAGAATCGGAAATCGTCACGAGACTTATAGAGCAATCATAGCGCGGAAACAGACAGGCAGACTGCCGAGAGCGAATTGAGCGGCGTGCGGCTCACCGGCAAGTACGAGTTTCATGTCCGTGAATACGCTTTGCCGGGGAGCAGTTTGTTGCGTGCGCCGACGACTCATTACGATATGATGCGAAGAACTTGATAATACTTCGACTGTCTTGAGACTCATTGCCATACGCAGTGTATATCTTGGCAATTCGCGGATGATCGATGATCGCCGAGAGTACAAAGGTGATTTAGAGGAGGCGCGAGCAAGTGAACGAAACGGTCGATAATCCGGAGATTCGAGATTCCCACTTGGAACGTTTGATAGACTGCGACAAATGTGCATGGCAAACTACCTAAAGATCACTATAAAGATCGAACGGTGATCGAAATAGAAGTAATTTTAATGCCAAGCGTCAAGACAGTGGATGTTAAAATAGTAATTAGAAAGAGAGAGAAATAACGCTGATCGATATGCGTGTTTGAGAAGATAAATATGTCACATGATTGCAAAAATTAGCAAAGATGAAAAAACGCTTTGTCACGGTCTGATGTTCTTTTATGCGATTTGTAAAAAAAAAAAAAAAAAAAAAAAAAAAAAAACG